CATTTCAGAAAAGTGCTTTGCGACTTAGAGGCGAGTGTCAATTTGATGCCGTCGGTTTTCAAGAAGTTGAGAATGGAAAAACTTCAACCAACTACCATCACACTTCAGATGGCGGATATATCTCAAGTTCTTCTTATGGGGGTTTTAGAAGATGCTTGGTTGGCGATCAGTGGGATTAATTTTTGGAAGATTTTGTGGTGGTGGACATGAAGGATAACAGTGATGAGCTAATAATTTTGGGAAGGCCATTCCTAACCACCGGGAGAGTACTTATTGACATGGAGCTTGGTGAGATCACGTTCCGAGCCTATGAAGAATACCAAACTTTTACACTTGCCCGAGGTTAGAAAACTCAAGAAACAAAAGATGATAACCGAAGTAAAAAGAAGATGAAAGAGGTGGTCGAGATGAAAATGACCCATATTGAGAGCTTGGAAGACGTCTAGTTAAAAACGTCAAATTAAGCGTTTTGTGGGAGACAACACATCATTTATAGTTTTTATTTTTATTTTTTATTCTTTTTGTTTCTATTTTCTTTACCACTTTTTATATATTTTCAAAAAATAAATCTGAAAAAAAAAACATATAAAAAATGGAGGAGATCGAGGGATTCGAGCGAAGCATGATAAGATAATTGTGCTCAAGAATATAAAGATTGCTTATGGTTAAGTTCGCTTGACTTATCAGTTAGTTGCCTAATGTATGCCACTTATTTTTCTCCAACTTAATTATTTTACAAAGAATAATTTTTCCTAATGGGATGCAAAAAAATGCATGAGATAGGGAACAAAAGCACAAGCCAAAGAAAATCAACAACCCACCACAGTCGGTCGTCAAAATCTGTCGCCCTAAGCAGCCCGACAACCCGACGACCCCCAATCCGCCATGGCCATCTGTTAACTAGGGAAATCCAGGTGGAAGAGTACCAATGTATCCCTTTGCTACTCACAACGACACTGCTACCGGCCCAAGGCACCAAACACAAACCAGATGAAGAGAACCGAAGCTCAATCGCCAACTCCCAGCCTGCCCTAGGTGAATCGAACTACTGCCTTTCCCACCGCAAGATTCGACGAACGAAGCCTGAGAGCTACATCTGTCGGATGGACACCAATTCAATCGATCGAGAGTTCAGGGAACGCCACAGTCACGACCAACACACCGGCCACCTGCAGGAGCGCCGGTGCCAGACCCCACTCCTCACCGACGACCGACACTACCAACACAGCCCGACGGCTGAAGCACCACCAAACGGAGAAGTGAAAATCAGACATATGTGGAAGAAGGGTCTGGCCAGGACCGCCCTAGAGAGGGATGTAGCCGCGGCGGTCACCCCCGCCGGAAGGGAGCACCAGATCTTGATCTGATTTTTTGTTTTTGCTACAATGAAATTGCAGAGAGAGAGCGAGTGATACGGATTTTTTCGTCAGCAAAATTTTGTATTTTATGTACGTTTCAATTTATTATTAATGTAATTTTATTAAAGATATTTATTATTTTTTGTTATAGATTATAATTTATAATTATATAAAATATAAATTACAAGAAAAAATAATAATATTATTTTTGTTCACATAATAGTTGGTTCACATATTTATGTCAAAAAATAAAGTTGGTTAGTTGGGCCTTATAATGAAAAGTTACTAAAAGTATGTCTTAAATTGAGAATAATCTAAAATGTAAGTCTTCTATTGAGAAAGAATAAAATTCATGCCTTAAATTGATACAATTACAAAAAGTTAAGCCTTGTAATAGAATTTTCCTTTTTTTTTCACATAATAGTTGGTTCACATATTTATGTCAAAAAGTAA